CACTTGGCTCCCAGAATTAATGACCGAGTAAAAATAGCAGTTCCTCTGTTCCAAGACGGCAAGACCCTCAGAAACAGAGACGGCTAGCCGGACAGGAGACGCATCTCGACGTGTCCACTGCCGCAGCTGAGAGAATCTGGCGCAAGAACGTCTTCTTTCTTCCGCTGGATCTATCAAGCATGGGCCATGGTGTAACTGTCAACGGTTGATGTCTCGTCAATATTAACTGCATCATCGCCGATCGACTGAGGAATGTGAGACGAGCGTTTTGATCACCATAGATCACGGCAACTCTTCTCAGTAAGTGGCTCTGTCAAGAGCCACGACAGAAGCTTGGCCTTTTGGTTTTAATTTTTTGACAGTGGTCTCGGAGAATAGACCAGAGTAATTCTCTTTTGAAGACACATTTTCCCTGACCGTGATGCACACGGTTAATTTGGACCGTGTCTTCTCCGATCATTCCTTGGCTAGTCTTCGTTGTCTCAGGATTGCTTTGGACCGTACATTGAATCTTACTTAACCTGCGCAACACTGCAGTGACATATACAGACAGGTAAGTTGATCGCTTATGAGGAAATCCAGAAAAGCGACATGTGTGTTCAGCAATCAGCACACAATAATATAAAGTTATAAACATATGTTGATATATGTCATTTGACCACATACTAACCCTGTTGTGATGATATCTCTCTGTCTAGACAGTGTATATATTGTCTTCAGCCTCCAGCCAGACATATTCAGTCTCACAGACGAAGTGATGGAGATAGAGGACCTAGAGGAGAGAGAACTCATTGGCGATGATGGGTCATGATGAATCATGACAACTTTAGGTGATTAGGGAGAGGACTGATTAAGTGATTTGACTAGTGCACGCATCGTGAAGAATTTTGGCCGTTCGAAAATAACGGGATTTATGACAGGCAAATGGGGGTAATATATATGCCCATATCTGTTGTCTAAAGTATTATTGCCTCTTATGATATTAGATTTTTTTTTCTTGGTTACACAGAACGATTGAAGACATGTACACACTATGATCATGTTCGGATAATGAGTTATGATCATGTTTTCGCGCAGTCATTGATCGATGTGAGCTGCATGAGATCCCCCTGCAAAACAGGAAGTTCACTTGGAGTAATGAGCGTCGAAAGGCAACCCTTGTCAAGCTTGACCGTTGCTTTTGCAATGAGGAATGGGATCTTGCTTTCCCCCACCATGTTCTCCATGCCTTTCCTACAGGGCCATCCGACCATTGCCCTCTTGTACTGTCCAACCCGCAAGGCCCACATCGTCCGAGGACCTTCAAGTTTGAAAACTTTTGGACACGGGTCCCGGGGTTCAAGGACAAAGTCAAGGACATCTGGAGCCAACCTTCTTCGCACACTGAGCCTATGCACCACCTGAATCAAAAGCTGCAACGTACGGCGGTCGGCCTTAGAGATTGGACAAAAGGCATCTGCTCAGAGGCTAAATTGCAATTCCATATGGCACTCAATGTCATCCAAAGACTCGACGTGGCACAAGAGCACAGAGAACTCTCCCCCCCGGAAACGCGACTGAGGGCGGCTCTCAAGCGGAAAGTCCTAGGACTCGCTTCTATAGAAAGGGCAAGGAAAAAGCAAGCCTCCAGGGTAACTCACATCCGTGAAGGAGATGCGAACACGAAGTTCTTCCACCTCAGGGTTAATGCGCGAAGGAGAAGGAATACAATCCAAAGATTGAAAAAGGACAGTGGTTGGGCGGTGACGCACGGTGAAAAGGAATTGACGATCCATGATCACTTCGCAAGCTTCATGGGGAGGCCGGGGCCGAGGCCAAACGAGCTAAACTGGGAGACGTTGGACATCACACCGATTGATCTAGCCACGCTGGGGGAACCCTTCACTGAGGAGGAGGTGCATAGGGCAATTAAGGAAATGCCAGCCGACAAAGCACCGGGACCAGACGGCTTCACTGGGGCCTTCTTCAAAGTTTGCTGGGAAATCATCAAGGATGACATTCTGCTAGTCTTCAGCTCCATCTATAACCTGAGATGTGCGCACCTGAATTTGCTCAACTCAGCAAACATCGTCCTAATCCCAAAAAAGGATGGGGCTGAAAGCGTTTCGGACTATAGGCCAATTAGTCTAATTCATAGCATCGCCAAGATCTTCGCTAAGATGCTAGCGCTGCGGTTAAGGCCCCACATGCATGAGTTGATCTCGGTCAATCAAAGCGCTTTCATAAAGGGGAGAAGTATTCATGACAACTACCTCTTCGTAAGAAACATGATCAGAAGATACCACCGCCTAAGACGGGCAATGTTGCTCTTCAAGTTGGATATAACAAAAGCCTTCGACTCCGTGCGATGGGATTACCTACTGGCCTTGCTGCAGCGCAAGGGCTTCCCGACAAGATGGATAGACTGGCTAGGGGCTTTACTGTCGTCTTCGACATCCCAAGTCCTCCTTAATGGCTCGCCAGGGCAACGGATCAAACATGGAAGAGGACTACGGCAAGGGGACCCCCTCTCGCCGCTTCTCTTCATCTTGGCGATTGATCCTCTACAGCGTATCCTTTCCAAGGCAACAGAGTTGGGTGCAATTTCAAAATTACGAGGAAGAACAACTCGGCTGCGGATCTCAATGTATGCGGATGATGCTGTGATCTTCATTAATCCCACCCAGAACGATGTTGCGACTTCCGCGAACATCCTACATCGTTTTGGCACAGCCACAGGACTCGTCACCAACCTTCAGAAATCCCAGGTTGCGGCCATAAGATGCGGCAATATAGACCTGGAAGAGGTCCTCCAAGGCGTTCCGGCGAAGCGAGCAAATTTCCCACTAAAATACTTGGGCCTCCCGCTTGTTCTCGGAAGGCTGCGAAAAACGGACTTGCAACCGGTCTTCGACAAAATATCAGGGAGAGTTGCAAGTTGGAGGGGGAAAAACATGGCAGCAGCCGGGAGAACCACGCTTGTAAAGTCTGTGCTTTCAGCACAGCCAATTTATCTCCTCACTGCCTTGAAGGTGATGAAGGAATCCCTGGAGCAGCTTGACAAGCAGAGACGTCGCTTCCTTTGGGCTGGTACGGGGGATATCACCGGGGGGAAATGCAAGGTCAACTGGGCAAAGACATGCTTGCCGACCAGCCAAGGGGGCCTTGGTGTCCTAAGCTTGGACAAATTTACAAGAGCTCTGAGATTGCGATGGTTGTGGAACGAATGGAGAGATCCAAGCAAGCCTTGGGTGGGTTTGGAAACGCCTTGTGATGGTGTGGATAGGGACCTCTTCGCCGCCTCAACAAAGATAACTGTGGGCGATGGGAATACGACGCGCTTCTGGGACTCCGCATGGATTAACGGCCGAAGACCAAAAGACCTAATGCCGTTGGTCTATGAGATCTCCAAAAATAGGAAGAAATCCCTACGGCAAGGGAAAGAAGACGACTCCTGGGTGCATGACCTGACCCTCGATGCGGGTTCATCTATCACAATCAACCTCCTCGATCAGCTAGTCCGCCTATGGGAGGCGGTACGGAATGTGCACTTAGACAGCGAGGAGCCGGATCAGATTGTTTGGAAATTCACAAGCAGCGGCCACTATACAGCTTCCTCGGCTTATCATGCCCAATGTTTGGGGGCGCCAAACACAAACTTCAACTCCCTAATCTGGAAAGTTTGGGCGCCAGGGAAATGTAAATTTCATGCCTGGCTCATCATTCAAAATAGAGTCTGGACGTCGGACCGACTCGCGACAAGGGGCTGGCGGAATAACGGACATTGCCCCCTATGTCGTTGTGACACCGAGACAGCCTTGCACCTCGTCGCCATGTGTAGATACACGAAGAGAATCTGGCGCCTCGTTGCTACATGGGCGGGATATCAGCAGTTGGAACCGGCCCAATGGGAGGAAGCCCGGTCAGTCCATCAGTGGTGGGAGAGCCTAGCTAATACACCCGGCATTCCAAAGAAGGGCCTTCGGTCCCTTATCCTGCTAGTAGTTTGGGAAATTTGGAAGGAGCGAAACCGGCGAATCTTTGATCACAAAGAGATGGCAACAGGTGTTCTCCTAGCAAAAATCAAAGAGGAGGCCAGCTTGTGGGCTTTAGCTGGGGCTAAAAGATTGCGCGAGCTCATCCCGCACTCTGTATAGTGTATAGTCTAAAGATCTTTTTGTTTTACCCCTAGGGGTTGTATTTTCTCCTTCTATATTCAATGAAAAAGCACTACTGTGCTGTTTTTTCCGTTCAAAAAAAAAGAGTTATGATGGATTGAATTAGAAAATGGAAATGAACGAATGGGTAAGATGAAATGACGTGAGATGAATGGATGGCTAGGAGTTAAAAATATCCTAACCATCAATAAGTGATGGATGTCGGCGATAGTTCCATAGCATCAGTAATACCATGACATTCTTATTTTCTTTTTAGAGCTCCTTCAAGGTTCCCCATAGAAAATAATACTTCTTCCTTCAAAATTGTAACGCCTATATTTTTACATGATTTTTAATAGCATAATTTGTTCAATAAGTTATTCGTTATTATATTCCTAACGAATATAAAATTAGTATCATATGAAGTATTTAAAAATACAAATATAATGATATAACATATATAATACTTAGCATAGATATAGCTAGTATGATCATTAGTCAAAAGCTACCAAATTTATTTTTTTTTAAAAAATAGAAGCGTCCTGTAATTTGAGTGAGACGGATGGAGTATGTTGGATTTTTTTCTTCCATAAAACAATCCCACAAACTGTCTCAAAATCCATTGGCCACAAGAAAAACAATTCATAGATACATTCTATACATTTGATCTTAAATACACCCGAAAAGGGACAATATTATCCTATACTGAGTAGAAAAGTTTTCCCTACCAACTTTCCCTAAAATGGTCAGCCTGTAAGTTGCCTTTCTTGGTGGTACATCCACTAAAAGTTTGCTGGATATATTAAAACCGTCCATGTAAAAAAAAAAAAAGCTTTGTCCAGTCACAGTGATTTGCAGCGCATCTAGTAATAAAGTGAGCTGTGTATTATCCTTTCCTTTTTGGCCATATACGTATATACGTACACACAAGTTGAGCTTCTCAATCCACCATGGGATTACTCAAAAAGATTAGAAAAAGAAACTAATGAAACAAAATATTTTTCCCAGAGGAAAAAAAAAGGCAAATCATCAAATCCTACTCCACATCACTAGCTGTAGATTTTTTTCTCCACTTAATTAATTACGTGGCACCTAATTAATTTGTTAAACTGCTGTACTAGAAACTTCTGGTTCTGGTCCCTTGTTATCATCTCCTAAGTTAGTCGCTGGCCGCTGGCCGGCGCATGGCATCGTCGTCGACCTCGCCGGCGGCGGTAGCCTCCCGGCGAAGCCGCGCGACCTCGCGTACAGCACGGTGCAGAGCGCCGTCCCGACGGCGCACGTGGCGCCCCAGACGAGGAAGGTGCCCCGGTAGCAGGCGGCGCCGGCGCAGCGGCTGGCGCCGCGGGCCTCCCGCTGGTAGAGGAACGCGGCGAGGTAGCCGAAGCAGAGCGAGCCGACGGGGATGTTGGCGACGAGCACGTTGTGGTTCACCCCGAAGTTCTTCCTCCCGAACAGCTCCCCCGTCGCCGACACCGCCACCGACGTGATGGCGCCGGTGCAGGTCCCGACCACCGCCGTGCTGGTGTACAGGAACATGTCCCTCGGGTCCAGCAGCAGGAAGAACGCCCCCGCCATCGGCGCCATCAGCGCCGCCATGGACGCCGTCCTTGACAGCGAGTAGCCACTCCTGCGCATAGTCAAAACCCAAACCAAAAATTCATCCCCTGTCAGGACATGCATAAACAAAGACTCCAACATTTAAACAAGTTGTAAAAAACACGAGTGATTTGATTTGATCGGCACATGCATGCATGCATGCAGCTTGGTTGCTTACTTTGCGGTGTAGTAATCCAAGAAGGCGGGAAGGAGGCGGCCGAAGAATCCGAAGGAGGACGACAGGGAGACGAGAGTGGACGGGTCGCTGAGCCCGCGGGACTCGGCGATCTGCCCCAGGTTGTTGAGGAAGACCAACCCCAGCGTGCCACTGAACATGTAGCTCAGGAAGTAGAGCCAGAAGTCGAGCCGCCGCAGCAGCCGGATGCCGCCGACCTCGTCTTGGCCGCCGCTCTCGCCGGCGGCGGCGTCGTCCTCCTCCTTGTTCTCCGCCGCCTCGGCCACCTCGAGCACCGACACGGCCGTCTCCGGCACGTCGGTGGCGGCGGCGACGTCGTGCACTCTGTTCTCCCGCTTCGCCTCCCGTAGCTTGTCCATGCTCTCCCGCACCTTGAGCGCCGCCGGGATGAGCACCGGGAGGGCGAGCAGGATGTAGAGGCTGATCATGTGCTCGCTGGTCGAGAGCCCGATGGACTTGGAGCCGATGCTGCCGACGACGGCGCAGGCTCCGGTGGCGAGGGTAATCGCGAACATGGCGAGGAACGCCGGGTCGGTCCGGCGGTGGCTGGTGAGCTCCACCACCCGGAGCGACGGCGCCGCCACGAGGGTGACGAGCATCGGCACGACGGCATTGAGGAGGAGGTACACCTTCTCCTTGGAGTACCTCGCCGTGGCGCCCCGGGGCATCTTCTCGGCCATGGTGGTGTAGAGCTTGGCGCTCAGGCCGAGGTAGCTCGTCGCGAGGCTCACCGCGACGCGGCTGTCCGACGGGAAGTTCTTGATGCAGAGGAGGTAGCACACCGTGTTGATCCAGCAGATGCCGTTGCCGGCGAGGGAGGTGAGCAGGAACAGGTGCCAGTACGCGAGCCCGGGCCTCTCCAAGAAGAGGAACTGGACGCCATACCCGACAAGCCCGAACGACGCGCCGACGACGGCGACGAGCCACAGGGGCAGGTACAGGGCGGCGACGCCGGCGAACCAGCCGAAGAGCTTCCCGGCGTCGGAGGCGAAGGCGAGGAAGTTGAGCTGCACCTGGGAGATGCCCTTCACCTCCTTGAGCTGCGACGAGTACACCGGGAAGTCGGCGTTCGGGCCGTTGATGGTCTGGAGCCAGACGCTTCCGACCAAGCTCAGCCAATGAGCTGAGGAAGGAGAAGGCATAGCTAGCGTGGATTTTTCCTCTCTAGCTACCTACAGCCTCTGCCTCCCTCTCACCGGCGCCGCTGTACTTATGCGAGATCTCGGTGGCCCGGCGATAAATGCAGGGGACGACGGCGACGGCGACGGCGATGGCTGTGGCTGCCTCCGAGCAATACGCTCTATTATGTGTGGTTTCTTGTTGGCCATTATGGCTCATGGCGAGCAGCTTATATAGTGCGAGCTCCGCTATGGTGTTCTGACCAAAGGAGTGTACGTGACAGGCACCTGACCTAACAGCAGTGGTCGGTCAGGGTTGGCAGCGAAGAGGAGATGCAAACTTTCTTGAACATCTCTGCAATTAATCTCAGGAGGGGCTCGAAACTGCAATTCAGCCGTTGTCAATCGGAAGCAGCTGCTGGGTGCTGTATCTTTCGTCAGAAACTGGATCGAAGAGAGATGCCAGGTTTCTGGTACAGTAACGTGCAGCGTGTGCTGCTAACCTGTAGACGCTCGTGCAGTTCATGGCCGAGAAATTCAGATCCGTCAGAGAGAAGCGGCTCTGCAAGCCACGAGGTTCAGACGCCGGCCTAGCTGAGATCGTAAAACTACGATTTTACTACGTGTTGGCCGTCGGAAATCTGATCAAGGAACGTGTTAGGCTGCAAGGTCGCAACGTAGCTTGTCATGTCACATTGTCAAAACAGGCCTCATGTCTTGAAGAGACCAGCAAGAGGCGGCGGCAAAATCTTCAGTAAATGCAGGGCACATCATACCAAGGATATTTTTTTTCAGTAAATACCAGGTTAATCCTCGTGCGTGGCAGATTTTTCATGGTCTCTGAAGTACTGCGTCTGAAGATTTTTCAGTTTGTACCGGACGGCTTACCATTTGATGCTTCTGATGCGAAAGGTTGGACACAATGCGAGCATATATACAGGTTCAGATTTTTGGTGCAGATTTTTATCAGCCTGCGTGTTTACATACGTAGGCCGATCGAACTCATCTAATTCTCCAATCTTCGTATGCAAGTTCTACAGATAAAACTCAGTTGCTGATGATCTGGATAAGAGATCTTTTACGGTGCTTGAAAGGTACCCCAGGTACCTCCTTAACGAATTGTTATCCACCGTTAATCTTCAAAGGGTAATTTAGGAACACAAATTTTTATTAACAAGGGTAGCTTAGTAATTGCTCAAATCCCACCCGTCACCCAATCAACCAAGCCGTCGCACCGTTGATTCAAGATTAACCCTAATCAACCGAGCCAGCGCGTGCGATGGCGGCGACCGGCTGGCGCGACGGGCTCGTCGGCGGTGACGGCGACCTTCTGCTGCGTACGTCAGCTGCGACCGGCGGGCGCTACGGGCGCGTGCGTCGGCGGCGGCGACGGTGTCCAGCTGCTGCTTTCGTAGGCGCGTATGGCGGCAGCGAGCGGCGGGCGTGTGAGGCCTCGGCAAGCGGCGGCCTTTTACGGCAGCGACAACCAGCAGATCATGTAGGTTCCTCTCGCACGCGAGCGTTCTAATTCTTCCTCTCGTTTTTTTCTTCCTCCTGCTGAAAATGTTTGTTGCTTCTCTCAAAAGTTCTGAATTTGTAAGAATACGCTTTTGCCCTTTACTGAAAAAAAATTAATGAAAAACAATTACCATTTTACCCTCCCACCTTCCATACCTGGCCCACCCTTTTAATACCTTTTTTCAGGTACCTTCTCTTTCTGTCCGTTAGATCATTGCAGATCAATGGTCCTAATTAATTTCAAGTATTGAAGAAGTTCTCTCTGGATAAAGGATACGTATTAGGAGTTGCGTGTTTAAATCCATTTGATCACCTATTGTTTCAGTAATCACAACACAGAATCAATCACTCGATCAAAAACATTTCTTACTTGGGTTCTGTACTTCTGTTGTTACTCCAGTTGGCAATTAGGCAGCAATTCTGTGTTAGCTGGTTAGGCTGGCATGTGTACAATCATATTCAGATAAGGAAAAAAAATATATCAGAGCGGGTTAGGTAAGCGTCTGTACAATATTATGTGCACGCGTTCAGGGTGCTCTGTTTATAATCCCTGATCCAGAGTGGTTACATTTCCTTCATTGACATGGTAATTTCTTCATGGTGATACACTGATACGACAAAATAAACATGTGAAACCCGTTTGCTTGTTCATGGCCACATTTGCGGGTTACCTTAGTTTTGGTGTTCAAATTGAAAACCCATCATACTCGGAAGAGTCAAAATACGTCAATCATAAAAGGGTAAATCTATCTATCTATTATATTATTAAAACAGCCTTGAAAGGAGGCTCCACGTTCATTGTGGGGGCTAGAAATTCCAACATTAATTAGAGAAAAAGAAAATAAGAGTCCAAGTAGAAATACAACTCAAAAATTGCTGAAATTCAGAATTAAAAATAAGAAATATTGAAAGAAGTCTCCATATAAGAAATCAATACGAGATTAATCAAAATTCGAAATAAAAATAAAATAAAATCCGAAATTAGAAAATAAAAGGAGAGTCCAAGTAGGAATATAATTTAAAAATAACTGAAACTCGTAATTAAAAATAAGGAATATTGAGATAAGGGTCCATATAAGAACCCAATACGAGATTAGTTAATATACAGAATAAAAATATAAATAAAATCCGAAATTAGCAAAAAGAAAAGAAGAGTTCAAGTAGGAATACAATTTAAAAACAACTGAAATTCGGAATTAAAAATAAGCAATATTGAAAGAAAAATCCATATAAGAACCCAATACGAGATTAATTAAAATTCAAAATAAAATAATAAAATAATATCCAAAATGAAAAAAATTAAAAGAGTTAAGTAGTAATACAATTTTGAAACAACTGAAATTCAAAAAATAAAAATTAAAAATATTAAAAGAACACTATACGGTATTAATTACAATGAAAAAAAATAAATTCATAAATTATAAAAATAAAAAAATTCAATTAGGAATACAATTTATAAATAATAAAAAATGATGATAAAAATAAATACTATTAAAAAAAGACCATCTAAAACACATGACGAGATAAATTAAGTAAAAGGCCTATAAAAAAGTAGAGTGCTGGCGGTTGATACGACATATAAAAGCTGTTAGTAAAACATCAAATAGAATTCTAATGATGATTAAAAGGAGGGATGACAAGCAGGCAGTGAAGCAAACGAGTAAGGCGGTTGCCGGGACTTCTAGAAAGTAAGAAAAACAAACCCCATTGATAATCATATTCGATTTTTAAAATCTCAATGACAATAAAAAGGAGAAGCAGCGTGCGGGGTGTATAGGAGTACAGTTGCAGAGCCGCCGACGGTTGGCAGGACTTCTAGAAAATAAAAAAATGAATTCCAACGATAGTTATGTTCGATTTTTAGAATCCCAATGATAATAAAGAATAGGCAGCGGATAGGCCGTAGAGGAGTATAGTAGCATCGTTTGACGGGACTTCTAAAAAATATAAAAAAAAGAAACCCAACGAGACAATAAACTCTAAAAACTACAAGATCCAATTTTTAAAGGTTCAGAACTTCTAAAAAGTAAAAAAAAATTAATGATAATCATGTTTGATTTTAAAATCTCAATGACAATGAAGAAGGAAGGCAGCGGTCAGGCCATAAAGAAGTATAATGGCAAAGCCGCTGACGGTTTGGCGGGACTTCATTTGTAAAAAAATAATTATGTTCGATTTGTAAAATCCCAATGACAATAAAGAGAAAAGACAGTGGATGGGTCATAGAGGAATATAATGGCAGCATTTGAGGGGACTTCTAGAAATTATAAAAATAAAACCCAACGAGATAATAAACTTAAAAAGCTATAAGAAACATTTTTTAAAGATTTTAAGGAGAATGAATAGAAATAGTGGTAGACCGAGCAAACAAATAAAGAAGAATATGACAGAAATATAGGGTAGCAGCTGGTGTGACTTTTAAAATTATATAACTAGAAATACGAGGATAGCTATTTAATAAATCTTAAGTAAAATCATACTAAAAAATATTTGATTTTGTTTAGGTGCTAGCCGCACAATTGCGCGGGCCACCCAGGTAGTTGTTTTGATCTTAGCTGCAAAAAGAGATGAAGTTCAGGTTGCTCTGTACTGCATGGACATGACTCATTGTAATGTAGGGGAATTGTGGATATAGCGAGATTTATTAGGTTTGTATCACAGTATGAAAAGCAGAAAACTACTTACACGTGCTTGAGTAGTATTCGAAGATACTCATAGGGGTAGAGTTTGCGTGTGTGTGTTCATAGGGGTGAGTGTGCATGCGTTGTGAGTGTCTGTGTTGTATTGTGTAATTCTTAAAAAAAAAGTTTTACTCAAGCTCTTTTATACCTTTGAATTTTGTTTCATAGGTTTTCACATTTATCCCTATATACCCACATGGCCACGTTTCATTAGATATCCGTTATGTTTCTCTAAAATAATTATATTACCCCTCTCTCATATATACTAATGTGCTACTTAAAAAATATCAATGTTATTTTTTAAAAAAATATAATAAATCAATAGGGCATAATTATTTTACACCAAATTTGAAAAACAAAATTTAAATTTTGAAACAAATATTTCAAAAGATGGTTACAGCCATAAACGAGTTTCACTGTGAATGAAAACCCCTTTTTTTTGTTTTGGGTTTAAATTTTGGTGAAAATGTTGTATGAGTTTCATCAAATTTATTCTAAAATTTATTTAAAATGTATTTTTGGTTAATTTGTGGTCATATAATAATGGAAAATTTTGCTTCCGACACTCAAATTACGTAATTTGTTGGTGAACATCACAAAAAACTTACTACAGGTGAAGGACACCACAACCGTTACCATATTATTTCATACCTAATGGGAGACAGTGCGTTGAAATGACAAATTTGTCCTCGAAGCAGCACATATTACTCGGCTTGATTTGGACCAAACCAGGCCATATCTCCCTTAGAACATCCCCAACAGCTCATCCAAATTTAATCCTTCATATGCCTATATAGATGGCCATCCAAAAAGATTCCTCCTCTATATCCCTACTCACTCCAACAGATCATCCATATTACACCCTCCCTATGTTTTAATAATATTTTCCAACCACCCTACATTTATATTATATTTTAAAGCTTATATTTCGTCTTTATCTCTCTTTTTCTCTATTCTTCTCTATCCTTCTCTGCTTCTTTGTCCTCTCCTGCTCTTTTCTATCCCCGAGCCATGCAGGCGACGGGCGGCGGAGGGAGAGGCGGCTTGGCAGCGTGGGCGGTGAGGGCAGCAGGGCGACGAGGGAAGGGGCGCCGCGAGCGGCGGGCTGCTCAGAGACGGCGCTGGGCGAGCTGGTGAGGGGCGCCGGCGGCTGGCAAGCGCAGGGTGACGGCGGTTGGCGGGCGCAGGGCGACGGCGGCAAGCGAGGGGCGGCGGCCACGCGCGGGGAGACGGCGGCGGACAAAAGGCCCCGCGCACGCCGGAGGAGGAAGGCGGCGGGCGCAGAGCGGCGGCCACGCGTGGGGAGACGGCGGCGGACAAAAGGCCCCGCGCACGCCGGAGGAGGAAGGCGGCGGGCGCAGAGCGGCGGCCACGCGTGGGGAGACGGCGGCGGACAAAAGGCCCCGCGCACGCCCCCAGATCTGGTAAGGCTCGCTCCACAAATCGCTGAAAAAAAAGCAAAAAAAGGGGCACGGGGAACTCATCTACGCCGGTTGGGGACGACGGCGAGGGGAAGGCACACCGGAGGGGTGGTGGTTGCGAAAGTCTGGATGGGGGCGGGTGCGAAATGGCGTGAGGAGAGAGATACGCTATTTTTGCCTCTTCTCTCTCCTACTATGGCGCATCCGCCAATTTTGGAGTGTGGGGGTAGCGCATCTGCTGGAGGGCATTTTTTTCACCCATATACGCCAATACCGGGATGGAGGATTGGTTAGAGTATCTGCTGGGCATGCTCTTAACCCCCTCCAAAACCCTAGAGCAGCAGCAACTGGTACATTTTGCAACTTTTCCAAAATAAAAAATAAAAAATCTGAATTTTTTAAAAATAATTTCTAGATTTTCAGAAAAATCTAAATTTTCATATACATTTTCTGGTAGATTTTCAAACTACACATCATGCAACTCTCAATCTATCCTCCCCCAAAGTACACTGCTACCATACATCATATTCTTTTCTTTTCTCCAGCGTAGCTTATAATTTTGTGGCCTGAGGGGAATTCTTGTCTTTTTGAAAAAAAAATCCCTTCGATTGGATCTAAAATATTAAAACAATGAGTGTGGTGTCGTTCAGTAAATTACCATTCTGTAGGTGTCCTCTAGTCATCGCACGTTTTTGGATGTCCACATGTAAATTAAATAAACATTGACTATCATGTAGCAACATTTGCCTATAATTATATCCCATCAATTTTTGGAAATGAACTTTTTATGTTGAGCATTCTGTTTTTCTTACCATGATGTCTCACTCTCTTGTGTACCTCTATTTTGGTTTGATCCCTTCTAAATTTGTGGAGTATATTGTTGGATGTGTTGCAGTTTGTTGTATGAGACAGTTATATTTACGAGTGTCATTATGTGAGGTATTATCACGACAAAAAATTTTTTAGACGATAATAAAGTATATTTCTATTTATTAAAAAGCATATGTATCATATTTTTGTGACAGTAGCACAAAAGATTTGACACATTTTGTATATATTATCTAAAAATGCTACTATACAAGACGAATTGTCATGTTTATCCTTTAAAAAATGCTAAATATATTTCTTTAAATATATGTTAGATTTTCTGCATTTAATACTTTCTCACACAATAAACTTATGAATATTATAGTTATGCAATAAATTACTTACTTCCAACGGTAGATTTCATAAATAACTTAGGCTATTCCCAACCCAAGACACTAGACATAGTTTCTATAAACTCCACATTATCAAGAATTATCAAGAAACTAGTACTAGACACTATTCTTCCAATGCAAACACCACTATTTCATACTTAAATTTAATGCTACTTATCTCATATGATGTCTTGGATGTTGTGTAGAAACCATGTCTCATGCAAGACATGTCTTATGCAAGACATGATTTCCTTCTCTTTCCTCATGTATTCACTTGCCACATCATTTTTCATTCTAGTTGGCATATTATTTAATGGGAGCGTATCCTATGTACACAGACCTTCGCGTGTACACACCATGTACACCAACTAAAAATTATCACAAAAAATTCTAGGATAATTCATACATGTACTTTCAATAGTATTACATCTACGTGCAAAGTCGCATCTTCAAATTCATTCTACATAGAGAATAACAAAAAAGATAAAATTCTGACAAAATTACAACCTTAAAACTGTCAGATTTTTTGTTTTTTTGTTACGGCTAAAATATAATGAATTTGACGTTAAGATTTTAACCCTAGGTGTAATACAATTGAAAGTATGTGTATGATTTTTTCTAGATTTTTTGGTGACATTTTTTAGTTGGTGTGCACGTGTGTACACATGAGGGCCTGTGTGCATAGGATATGTTGCCTTATTTAATGCTGTAGACATCATCCTAGTCATTGGGTTGGGAATGGCCTTACATGCCCAATGGTAAAACTAACTTTTCTTATACATTAAATGGTCAACTGATGAAATGAGCATGGAAGGAATTAAATTAATATTTAAGGGACATGACACTAAGGGAGTAAATAAAACTCAACGCCATGGAAGGGATTGGCTAAATTGTTAGGGGCATACAAGAAATTATCTACAAAAAATGATCAAAATAAAGGGGATAAAAAAAGTAAAATTTAAGTACATAGAAGGGATTACCGCGTAAGGAATTTTTTTCGATAAATATGATGGGTCGACTGATTGGTTAACTTACCTGTCCTTGGATGAGTGGTCTGCTGATACAGTGCGGTTCAATAACATAATAAATAAGTTATAGGTTTATGAAATACAACCCATGTATCAAAATAAAAGGTTATTAGCATTGGCACCCATATAGGCCTCAACATCTAAATATATAAGTACTATTTTTGTATTTAAATATATAAAATTGTTGACTTTAGTCTATCTTTTATTGTTTGAAGGGGAGACTTTACTTTGTCTTTGATGCGCAAGTTTAAGCACTATTTTTCTATTAGAATATAGTGATAGTATCCAACAAAATTATAATATTGCAAACGTACTTAAAACGAAAAATCTATAAAACCTACTCATATTATTTTTATGTTTTCAAACTAAAGAGAGCTATTGATGAGGGGAATTTCAGAAGTTTAACCAAATAAGTTAACATAATCATATATTTAATATGGAGGGAGTATGCCACTATATGTATACAACATCATATATTGTGTCTTCAGTAACCTATACCAACAGATTAATGACATGTCAACAGCTGCATGCTCTAGCTATAATTAATCGATGTAATGACCACGCATGCAAAATATTGCTCCTGTAAATTAAAAGGGTGTAAACGAGTTATAAAATTAGCCGGTAGAGAAGGAGCCATCACATCAATGACCCCAAACAATGATCACCAGCCTGGATCTCCTAGTTATTAGAAACGCACCAGCACACCGCCATCAACTAACTCCACCTCCGAACTTAATACTCGCTCCGTATATTTTAATGTATGACGCTGTTGACATTTTTAATAAACGTTTGACATTTCTGCTTATTTAAAAAATTTATGAAATTATCATTTATTTATTTGTGACTTGATTTATCATCAAATGTTCTTTAAACATGACATAAGTATTTTTGTATTTGCATAAAAAATTAAATAAAATAAATGGTTAGACGTTGGTTAAAAAGTCAACGACGTCATAAATTAAAATACGGACGGACTACGTTTTTGATTCACCGGGTAGGTAAACATTATTGCATTTCTGCCATGCATGGAAGTTCAGGACGGTGTGTTTCGTGAGCCGGGTGTTTCCTCTGCCCAAAGTAGAGGGCCCTGCAATGCAAAGCAAGAGTCAACGCGGCGCACTGCTCGCTGGGGATGCGGCTTCCTGTCCCGATACCTGTTCCCTTCCCTGTTCCTGGCGACGTGTCACCTTCTTATTCGCTGGGTTTTTTCTGGTGGGTCAGTACGCATGCGCTCCTCTTTCACTTAAACGGCGTCATCGTCCCATGTTATACTATCACAATTAAATTGGAAACAACGCAATTTAAGCGCTAACAAAAATATGACGCCAAGCAAATAAAATTAGTGGCGGGAAAAAGGATTAGAGCGGTACATAAGTACAAATACACAGTTGTTTTATTTTCATCTACACAGATTGCGTCTCCACACTAACAAGAACTCTCCCAAATCTTGGCACCATGATGAACTCCCGATTCCTGAACCAATGCCATCACAATTGCAGAATACAGGAACATGCGGTACGTTCGCATTCTTGGATGATACTTCTGCCCCCATCATCATCATCATCATCATCATCAAATCCTGCTGAGTCCACAGATCCCTCTGATGGCCTGAGAAGAAATCAATTAGAAGCTGTAAGATCCCTATCTATTCTCCTTTACATTTTGTTAAATTAGTTGCATCTAAACTGTAAGATCCGGACATGTGCACGTGCATATGAACAACTATATTCATCGTTCCTTTTTTTTTTTTTGCAATTTTTTGATGGAAACTATTACCACGGATAAAATTAGGATGAAGGAACAAATGAAGCTGCTCATACAACAAAATATCTGGAAGACTTGGTGCCAAAGATTGGCATGAAATTTAGCTCTGAACAAGAAGCTTATGATTTCTACAATGCTTATGCTCTTAAGAAAGGTTTCAGCATTAGAAGAAGCAGCTATCATTACATTGGAAATACTAAAATTATAAAAAACATGACATTTTGTTGTTCTCGTCAAGGTAAATTCTTTGTTTCTTTTTATAGTTACATTAACTTTCAATTAGAGACATTTTGTTTCAATTAGTGCACTGTATTAACAGGAAGTAGAGGTATTGACAAAAGAGCAGAAGCTTCAGGCTATGGCGATAGTTTTAGTAAGCCAGAAACTCGATGCAAATGCCAAGCATGTATGAAGATAAGTCTCATAGATGGATTCTATTCTATCTATCACTTTGTGCCTGAACATAACCATAATCTTGCCACTAGAAGTCAGGCTCATCAGTTAAGATCACAAAGGAAGATAAATGAAGCTCAAGTTGCAAGCATTGAAGTCGCAAAATCCATAGGGATTTCTACTAAAGCAGCTATTGATTTGATGGCAAAACAAGCTTGTGGATTTGAGAATCTCGGGTTTACTCGTGTTGACATAAAGAATAAATTATACTCCAAGAGGTCACTACAAACCAAACAAGGTGATACTGGGGGAGTGTTAGAATATATGGAGAAGAAAGCATCAGAAGATGTCAAGTTTTTTTATTCTATTCAGGTTGATGAGGATGACTTAATTACAAACATTTTCTGGGCTGACTCTAAAATGGTTGCCGACTATGAAGATTTTGGTGATGTTGTATGCTTTGACACAACATATAGAAAGTTGGATGACGGACGCCCTTTTGGTTTGCTTGTAGGAGTGAATAATCATAAGAAGACTACTATTTTTGGTGCTGCTCTTCTATATGATGAGACCGCTAATAGTTTTGTCTGGTTATTTAAAACTTTTCTAAATGTCATGTCAGGAAAGAAGCCAAAAACAATTTTGACAGATGAAGATGCAGCTATGGCTAAAGCAATTAAAATAGTTCTTCCATAAACTCATCATCGGATATGTGTATGGCACATGAATCAGAATGCCTGCAAGCACCTTGCTGGGTGTGTTAAGGACTATAAGAAATTTAATGCTGACTTTCAGAACTGCATATATGATCAGGAAGAGGAAGAAGAATTTTTACGTGCATGGGGCCAATTGCTTGAAAAATATAAGCTCCAGCAAAATACATGGTTGCAACGGATTTTTAAGAAAAGGGAGCAATGGGCATTAGTATATGGCCGGAACACGTTTTCTGCGGATATGAGTACCACCCAAAGAAATGAAAGCCTGAATAATGAATTAAAGGGTTATATTAGTGTGAAGTATGACATGCTTACTTTTTTTGAGCACTTTGACAGATTGGTGGGAGATAAAAGATATGAAGAGGTAAAGTGTGACTTTAGAGCAACACAAAGTACACCGAAGCTAAAGGCGGAGTTGAGAATTTTGAGATATGTAGCAGAAGTTTATACTCCAGCAGTTTATAAGATATTTGAGGAAGAGGTAATGCAGACTTTGAATTGTGACATATTCTACTGTGGTGAGGTTGATGTAGAAAAGGTGTACAAAATAAAGGCCAACGGTAAGCATCTTGAACATGTTGTTAGATACTCTCCGTTGGAATCCAATGTTAAATGCAGTTGCAAGAAGTTTGAATTTGCTGGCATCTTGTGCTCTCATGCACTGAAGATACTTGACGTCAACAATATTAAATCAGTTCCTCAACAATATATATTAAAAAGATGGACAATTGATGCAAAAGTATTGCATATAAGTGGCAACAGCAATATGCATGATGACCCTAGAATAAAGATATCAGATCGATACTCCTCATTGTGTAGAATGTTTGTTCGAATAGCTTCTACAGCTGCAAAATCTGAAGAAACATACTCCATGTCTACTAATTGTGCTGAAAAATTGGCAGAAGATATAGAGAAGTTCTTGAGAATCAGAAGTGATCCAGATTTAGACAAGTCGCCTTCCCCACAAGGTTCGTATCAAAGTTCTATATGTTAATTATAAGTAATATTATAGTCTGACCGATACAATTCTAAACATATTATTTCCAGTTGGGAAAGAAAATCAGATGCCCAAAAAGCCAAGAGGCATTAAGCTCAAGGAAAAGGGCATCCATGGTTCAGCTAGACGTGTTGGTGGCTTAGAGAAAGCATCATCGCAGAGGAAGAGAAAGAAGAAGGATGACGATGTTCCGGACCATGTGCTAGAACCACAACCTGAGATGCAGTCACAACCACCTGCTACAGTAATGGTATATTTCTCACATAATTAATCTCCAAAATCGCATGCTCTTGTTATCATCCCTGACCTTTCCTCTGTTTTTTTTTTGTTATGTTAGGGCCATCTGGAGGTTCCTAGCAACCAAACTTTTTTACATGTATCACAGTACTATGCTGCTCTGGAAGCGTCAACACACCCTTTATTTCATACTCCTATCTCAGTGACTCCAGAAAGTCAGGGGCTGCACCAAGGGAGGCCATTTCAACAATTTGACACTGATTTCCACAATATGTTCCCCTGACCTACTTGCAATATTAATTTCTTTTAGTGCAACAACATTTCGTATTTTTAATTTACTGAACACTGCAATGAAGTTTACTTATTAGTAGTAATATGTGTTTTTGGTCAGATTTTGAATAAACGATGTGCAAACTATACAGCAATCCTCTTCAGGCCACAAGATACTATCTAAATCATGCATAGCATTCAGAAGTTGTCAAAAATTGAACAGATCTGAAAAACAAAGGCAACAACATTGGGATTGGGATCTTACTGAACAAAATCAAGTCACACGGGCTGGATTGGATCCACAGGTTGGCGTAATACTTGACGATGTTAGCATCGATCACATCATGGACCTTCTCGATCCAAGCTCATGCACTTTGATGCAGCTGGACATTGATTAATTTGCACGAGCTGAACCATGCATCAGCTCCAACTCAGCGGCAAGGCGCTTGATCAGTGGTGGCGAGCTCGAGACAATCGACTGCTCGGGCAAGCGGTGCTCGAGCTCACCCGTAAAGCGGCGGAATCTGGCGGAGTTCATCTAGGTCAAGGTGGGGAATTTTTATTTTGTTGTAGTAATAGTAGATCAGCAGCATGGAGAGAGACGATGCCTTCTGTTGGGGGAGGGAAGGGATCAAGGGATTACGCCGTTGTGTGAAAAAGAACGGAGACGTTGACGCCGTTTAAGTGAAAGAGAAGCGCATGCGTACTGGCCCACCAGAAAAAACTCGGCAAATAAGAAGATGACACGTCGCCAGGAACAGGAAAGGAACAAGCGTATCGGGACAGGGAAGCCGCATCCGCTCGCTGGAGGCATGTTAACTGATATCCTACAAGTGGAATGCTGATTGAGATTTGAGCATATCTGAATGAATATGTCCCAGGAGAACTGTACCAACTAACACTGCAGCACCATGTTGGATTTACTCCCACATTTCTATTTCGAATGTGCAAAAACCTTGCAAGTCAATATATTAGAAAAAGAAAAGATGTTTATAACTGCAATGTGCTGACGTAGTTAGGGAGGATTAAAGGGAAGGGGAAAAAACACTGGATTAAGTAGGAGAAAATCGAGCCCTAACCAGCAAGTGGAAAAGTGAAAAAGACAAGCTAGGGTCTATAATAGTGGGGAGCACAACTTATGGGGATAGCACTCACCCAAAAGATTAGTGTGTGTGTAAACTAGGACTTAAAAGTTGTAGCTCTAGTTAGACCTGTGTGGTAAAAGACCCAATATGATCTAGATGACCCACGGTTGGTGGGTCGAACTACGCACTCTAATAAGTGGTATTAGAACCCATGTTTAGTATTCCAAAACAATTTCTATGGATCACATAGGAGGAGCTATGATAACAAGTTTCTAGGGTCACATGGGCTCAGCACAGATTATTAGGCTTGGCTCGAAACAAGTGTCTATAGTTATATGGGTTGATGTGATAGGGGAGCTTGTTAATAGTTTTATATTAAAAATTATTTTTGGGGGGAAGGCGATATTCTGTATTTTAAAAACTAATATTTTAGGTTGTGTAGTCTTATGACTTCAAATGATGATTTATGTTGGACCTATAGCAGGTCCAACGTAATTTGGGGCCACAGTTGGAGAGCCACTCTTCCTGGAGGTTTGGATGGGCTGATTACCCGCACGTAAAATGAGAAATGTGATTAGCACATGATTAATTCAGTATTAGTTTATAACATTTTGATGAATAAATTTGTTGGATTTTTTAAGCAACTTCTTTATATAAAGTTTTTTTTATGAAACACACCGTCTAGCAGTTTGAAAAGCGTACTAACGGAAAACAAGTAATAGCTAATCCAAACTACTCCTTCCGTTCTAAAATAAATCAACTCCTAGAGTTTGAAATTTGTCCCAAAATAAACCAATTTCTACCTTCTTACCTACCACCAATCCACAAATCGAGAAATTTTATTACTTCAATACCCCTCACCTACCTACCAATCAATACAAGTTTTACATTAATTAAGGGTACTATGGTGTTTTGTTTCTTTCCTTAATAGTTTCTTGGGATACAGGTTTGTTTTTTTTTGACAGAGAGAGTAGCTACAAAGAACGCAGCCTTAACATAGTATGTGGGCCTCAAGTGTCCTCTGTCTTTGCCATATCCAGTGCTCTGCAGTTGTAAACAACAGTATAACACCGTTGAAATCATGTCACCGGGACCGGGACGTGAATTTTTTTGAGAATTAATATTATTTTTATGGAAAATCGCAAAAGTAGTGGCCAACCGGGAAAATCGTGAAAGTAGGTCCCTGTCGAACGGGTGCAATTCGATAGGGCACCTATCGAACGACGGGCAGTCGACAAAGCCCTGTCGAACGGCTGGCGTTCGACACGCTCACCTGTCGAACGGAGGGAGTTCGACAGGGCCCACCACCCGGCGCCGCGAGGCCTGTCGAACCGGGGGCGTTCGACAGGTCCCTCCACCGACCCTGTCGAACAATGGGCGTTCGACAGGCCGATTTAAAGCCCCGTCCACCCAGGCCGCGAGTTCGATTTGTGACCACATCGCCAGCCGCCGCCGAGAGTCGCCACATCGTCGCCGTGAGCGCCGGAGGGAGCGAGGGGAGGGGATAGCAGGCCGGAGAGGAGGCCGAGGAGGCGCCGGCCGGGAGGAAAGGGTTGGCGACGCCCTCCAGCAGTGAAGTTAAGGTATACATTAGTAATCCCTAAGTACAATGCATATGAAAGTTTAATAAAAAATTGGTTTAAGAGTTGTTAATTGTTTCGCATTGTTCGATGTTAGTATGTATGGTTAGCACATATTTGTTATTGCTAAATGTTGGTAGAGGTATTTAAGTAATTGTACAGTTAAATTAGTTCTTAGTTAGTACATATTATTGATATGTTGTGTGTTAAAATAGGTACAAAGGTGTTATATTTTATTTGGATTATTAAACTAGTTGTTTGTTACTAATAGTTGTAAATTAGTACACGGCAATATAGTATAAGTTGTAATAGGGTAATTATCGAATGATTAAATGATTAAACGTGAGACTATTTGTCATGTTTTATCAGGATGTCAGGTGATATGCCCATTCGTCTGTATTATGGCGATGCTCCTATACAAATATGTAATAGCGGGGTGGATTTGACTGTATATGCCTTCCATGATACTAGTCTGAATGCACCGGAGCATATGGGTTTGAACGACGTGTTAGGGTGGTTGTATAATATGTTTGGGGTAGATCCAGTGCACGATAAATTTGTCATAAATGCCGTGTGGCCAGTGAGGGGTCAACATGGATGGCAGTGGAGAGTAGTGGAGGTTGCGTCAACTGGGAGTTGGAGGAAGTTTGTTAGTAAAGTAAGGGAGAAAGGCTATAGCCTGGCAATAGTGGTGCAGAAGACAACATGTGTTGATCGATCGGGGGAGTCAAGTCATGCCGTGGTGGAAGAAACTCCGTTGGAAGGTGGACAAGCTGAAAATGTTTGGCGGACTGAGCAAGGTCGAGGGGAAGAAGTAGTAGAGGGTAATACACAAGGAGAGGTCATTGTTCATGGTACTAATCGTGAGGCCAACGACTCGGACGATGAAGAACCGGATTCGCCTATGCGTGTTGATGCAGCGGAGGAGAATGAGGCGGTAGTGGATCAGATGGAAGTGGAAAACGAGGAATACCTTGCGCTTGTAGTGGAAGGAGAAGATACAACACTGTGGGACAACGAAACTAACATACCCGATGATTGGACGACCATATCAATGAGTCGTATGAAGGTAAACGATGGTTTAGATGCCCACTAGTGTTATGATAGTAAGCAGGTGAAAGTTGGACAGATGTTTCATGACAAAGGTCACTTACAAGATGCGGTGAAGAGGTGGGCATTTGTCCAGAAGCGTGAGTTCAGGGTGAAGGTTTCAAATAGGACGACGTATGACGTGAAGTGCATACAGGGTGGATGTCCTTGGAGAGTGCATGGTTACAAGCCACAACATGACACTTTATGGGTAGCTTCGAGGGTTGAGCAACATACGTGTTTGTTGGAGAATACCCGTCTGGTGCACAGAAACCTGACAGCGGCATTTGTGGCACAAATGGTATATTCAAAGGTGGTTAGAAAAACATCTTTCTCCCCTTTCACCATAATGCATGACGTTGAGAAAGAGTACGGATATGAGATATCGTACGACAAGGCTTGGAGGGCAAAACAGAAAGCATTGGAGATGAGGTTTGGAACTTATGAGGATTCTTATCACAATTTTCACCCACTATTGGAGGTGATGCAGGCAAGAAACCCGGGCACACACATGGCTATTCTCGATGAGGTGAATGAATATGGGGAGAATGTTCTTCGTCGGGCTTTCTGGTCATTTGGGTGCATGATAGAGGCCTTTAGAAATTGCATTCCTTTGCTCTGTGTTGATGGCACTTTCATGACAGGCAAGTACAGAGGAACAATTCTAACCGCGATCGGAGTCGACGCGGATAGCCATGTCGTTCCTGTTGCTTTTGCATTTGTTGAAAGCGAGAACACATCAAGCTGGCTATGGTTTTTGTGGCACATTAAAATGTGTGTTGTTGAAAACAGACCAAATGTGTGTGTTCTGCATGACCGACACACCGGTTTGCTATCAGCGATACAGAAGCTTCAAGAAGATGTCACACAGTCCGTTCCATGGCCAGATTTACATAGCAGATGGTGCATGCGACATTTTGGGGCTAATTTTTATAGACAATTCAGGAGTAAGAGATTGATGGACCTGTTCAAGAAGTTATGCAAGCAGAATCAACAAAGAAAGTTTGATGCCATATGGGATCAACTGGATCGTTTGACCACTACACACATGGAAGAGGTTAGGAAAAAACCTATAATTGCCAGACAGGAGGAGCCGGAGGGACTTGAACCCATTCCTAATGAAGCACCAAGTATTACTCGGCGCAGGAAGCGTGGAAGGGCCACGAAGTGCTTCACGGAGTGGGTAGAATTTGAGCCAAGGGAGAAATGGTCGTTGTTGTACGATACAGATGGATCGAGGTATGGTGTGATGACAACAAATCTTGCTGAAGTGTATAACTGGGTTATGAAGAATACACGACCTCTACCACTTGTTGCTATCCTGGAGGGCATCACGAGGGGTACACAGAAGTATCTCTGTAAAAGGTATTCCATTGATAGTCTTCATAGGTTAGTTCACATCACAGTTGTTTAATCCTACATTTTTTAAAATAAATCACTGCACAACATTTTTTCTGATGTGTGAATTTGTTGTTGTGCAGGTACTCCAGAAAGGGGCTCGGGCTTTCCTACGAGCTAGTTATTGTGACCACGGTTCAGCCGACGGTACAAGAGTGGGAGCACGCAGCTGATAACTTGGCACTTCAGACACCTCCAGACGATGGGAGTTATTATGGAGCTTACCTTCGTTGGTACCGCAGTGTTACACGATGGAGGTGTTTTCCTCCACAAGGAGATAGCACCGTCCCCCACCAGGCAGCGATTACTGACACGTTTGCCCCTCAGCCTAGATCAGCTTACAACTCAATGGTACGTGTTTATTTGTGGAATTTGAGCAACTAGTTCAATATTTTTAAAAAGTTAGCAAGTAGTTCAGTATGTCTAATAAATGTGCAATTGGTTCAACTAGTTCCTTTTCTTACATAAATGTGGAACTAGTTCAGTATTTATAAATGATGT